GTTCATAGTGCTGCCGTTGAGCACCGTCGAGTGTGAGCGCGGCTTTTCCAGGCAGAACCTGATCAAGTCATGGTTTTGAGGAAATCAGTGCAACACTCGCCTGGCAGATTTGATGTGCGTCTCGCTGCTACTGTACGATCCTAACTGGGACGAGGTGGTGGCCGCCTAAAGGGGGGCAAACAAGCGCCGACCATCCAGGGAAGTGACGATGAAGAGGTGCAGTCGAGAGAGAGCGCCGAAGAGGAAGGCCGAAAGTGAGAGGAAAGCGGCTGAGACTGATGCAGACGACGAAGATGAGCAAGTGCAGGAAGCGGAGATGACGAGGAAGAAGGGCAAGGCCCATGCAGCTGTCCCTGATTGTGATGATGACGAGGACGATGGGCCTGATGTCCGTGGTACTGTGGCGCTATGTTCTGAAACAGAGTAAAGTAGAGTAATATCTGGTGACTATTCAGCTAGCTGTGAACTACTAGTGCTAGTTGGTAGGTTATGGGCACTTAAGGACTTAAGAGAGTTGTTTCTCGTAAAGGCTGCAATGATGTACTGATAAAAAACTTCAACATATTGACGTGTCTCTATTAAAAAGTGTATATTACAACATGATAGTACGCTGCTGCTAATTCTGACTCTGGCACACCTAGTCAAGGTATCAGAAATGGAAAGATACTTTCATCTGATGCATCAGGAATGAACTCTGAAAATTTCAGATCCATGAAACAGGGAAATGACATACTTCTGATGGAACAGATGGAGCCGGAGGGCTCGTTTGATGCATAAGGCGTCCTCATATCCTAGGGACAACCCTGACCTGGTGCCACCCCCGCCTGGTGCTGCCCACACTTGCCACTGCCCATGCTATCCAAGGTCAGTGAAGATTCTTGGGACGTCTGGATAACCCACCTAGTATTGAGCGAGAAAGAGCCATCGGGGTTGCGTGTGGAGAGAGAGAGGTCTTTCCATGCCCGCCCCACAACATCACACCCCTGCCATGGTGACACGTGCTGGTCACACGGGTAGGGGTGACCCGAGGAGGGTGATGATGGTGATGAAGTAAACTGCTAGATGTGTGTTTAAATAAACAACAGCATGTAGATGTAATTTGATAATCTATTTTTGCTTTCTCAATAACGAATTTCTGTCAAATTATATATTTGTATGTTAGGCTATAGTGAGGCACTTAGTAAGGAGGATAGCACTTTAGGGTTTATATTTGTACCCTTCTCCCTTGCTAGTCAATTCATTGCGATGTTCAGTTGTGAGATGGTATCGAGCTAGCTACGTTCCTAGCTTAGTTAGTAGGTTATAATACACCCATTAGCAGGCCGTGCCATCCCGTGCCCTGCCCTGCCCCCTGCTGACGTGCTGCCCTGCGCACTGTCGCAATGTCCTGCCCCGCGCGCTGCCCTGCCCCGCGCACTGTCGCGCTGCCCTGCGCCGCGCTGTCGCACTGCCCTGCGCCCTGTCGCTCTGCCTTGCCCTCGCGCGATGCCCTGCACCGCGCGCTGCCCTGCCCCGCGCTGTCGCGCAGCCCCTTCGCAGGCCACGACCCTCCCTGCCCTCTATCGCTCTATCGCGCTGCCACGACCTGCCCTGCCCTGCCTCGTGCTGCACGCGCTGCCCCAGCACTACCGCTGCGCTGCTGCCTGCACTGCAGCCCGCACACCACCAGCCACCGCCTGCTGGCCCGTTGCTGCCCGTGCGCCGCCCCGCGCCACCGCTCACTGCAGGCCTGCTGCAGCCCACTGCCCACCCACTGCCGCGCCGCCTACATCATCGCTGCCCGTCGCCGCGCCGCTCTGTTTCCTGCCGCGCCGCGCCGCCTTGCCGTGCCGTGTCGTGCCGCCGTGCCGAGCCGCGCAGCGCCGCGCCGCCCTGCCTACTTCCCCACCGAACCGCTCACCCTCTGCCATGCTGTAGACCGACCCGCCGCCCGTGCCTAGATCTGCAGCCGTTCCTAGTGCTACTATCTGACCTAGTTTCAGTCATGGCTACTTTCACTGTCCTAGCGTTTGACCCAGAGGGGCGCCCTATCGAGTTCGAGTCCCGGCTAGAGGATTTGCACCTGTAAGTGTCACTTGGGACGATTTCTCCCTGTTCAAGCACACGTCGTGGTCCCTCAAGGCCCCCGAGCCTCCAGTTGAGCCTTCCCCTACTACTACGGAGGATGTGTAGAAGAAGTACACAGCCGATCGTGTTGCTTGCACGAAGTGGACGGCGCGCGACGCCGCTGCTACCCTTGCTATCCGCAACCACCTCTCGCCCGACCAGAGGGTCCACTTTCGCCAGGTGAAGTCGGCTCATGCCTTCTATACCGCTGTTGTCAAGCGCTACTCCTCCCCCTCCTCTACCACCCTAGGCCGCCTTGCACTGCCGTTTCCCTTCCCTGAGCTGTCAGACTTCACCGCTGTAGCCGACCTTGTAACCCACCTGCGCTTCCTCGCCCCCCATGTACCTCACTCTGTACTTCCTCGTGACTCGCCTTCCTGACACCCTTCGAGCCGTTCAAGACCACTTCCTCTCCCTAGACCCCACTAGTCTCACCCTTGCCTCGTCCTCCTTGAGGCCGAGATTAGTTCCCACGCTTTAGCTGCCTGTCGTGGCACCCCCAGCACCTCCTTCTTTGAGGGGTGCACTCCCTCCCTTCTAGCGTCCTCTGTTCCCTCTGCTTCTGCTGTTGACTTCCAAGGTGCTGGGGAGGTCGGTGCGGCGTCCGCTGCCGCATTGGTCGGCGTCAGAGGAGTGAGGGTGGTAGGGGTGGTGGAAGTGGCGGAGGTGGTGGGGGGGGGGGGGGGGGGGGGGGGGGTGGGTGCTGGGGGTAGCGGGGGTGGCGGGAGTGGCGGAGGAGGTGGGGGTGGTGGTCGTGGAGGAGCTGGCGGGGGTGGTGGCACCGGTGTGGCGCCTGGTGGAGCTGCGTTCGGTGGAGTAGCAGGTGGAGGTGGCGGTTTTGGGGGTGGGCAGCAGCAGTAGCAGCAGCCGCCATGGCGAGAAGACGGACGGACGGGTAACAGGATAGAATTTCGGATTGATGACAGCAGGAAAAGGCTAGAAGGGGCGTTTGCAAGAGAGGGTTGGAGAAGAAGGGCCCCTCGAAACCCCAACGCCCCAACTCTAACCCCACTTGACGAACCACGCATGGCAGTGAAAACAATAGGTGGCACCACTTGTTTGTGGTGATCCTACAACGCGCTTCCTGAACCTTCTGTAGGCGCCGAAATTGAGCGTTTGTGGATGTCGATCGACGAGTGCTATACCACAGTGACCAATCGCAGACGACGGGACAGGCCACGTACGAGAGTACTAGTCATGGAAGGGCAATGTGTGACGCATACCATTGTTGATAAAGCATATTCAATATATGTGTACTTGTTGCAGGAGCATCTTTTTGTGTTGTTGGCGAAAAGTACACGTAAGAGGTCGGGGCGCGAAACGTATGATGCATGCTTTCCGGTAATCAAGGGGGAGACGCACCCCCACGCCTTGTTCACGCCTAAATCATGCCTAAGGGAAGAAAGATCCGATATCAGACAAAACTTGAAAGTGTTCCTGATAGACCAGAAGAACAGGAAAACCTTGTCTGATCCATCAGATAAAAGAAATTCCATTCCTTTTGATCAGATTGTACATAAGTTCATTTCTGGAAAATCAGACAAATCCTAAAAAACATGTCTGAATATCAGACAAACAGACAAAAAAGTTCTGCTAGCGACAACCCTGCACCAGGTGGGGTTGGCACCAGGTGGGGGGGCAGCACCAGGTGGGGGGCAGCACCAGGTGCGGGCAGCACCAGGTGCGGGCAGCACCAGGTGGGGGCAGTGGGTGGGAGGTGAGCAGTTTTTTGTAAAGATCCCTTTGAAATCCAGGCAAGGTTAAAGAATGGAAGTGGCACAGTGAGAGGTGGGCAGGGTATGATTTTCTGACTGAGCAGTGTTGTTGGGGTGGCCATGCCCAACCCTCCTCCATGCTCAATCCTCTTCCCACACTCGTTTCCCACTTGCCCCACTCTTCTCCCATGCCTCGCGCCCCACACCCCATGCCACACACCCCACGCGCCACGCCCAACACCCCATGCCCCAAACCCCCCATGCCCCCTGTGCAGCATGTGATGGAATCAATTCGTTCTTTCTCCAACCGCTTCCCATGGCTCTGGGTACGCTTCGCATTCTCCATCTGCCATTCTCTCTAGTCTCTTCCGCCCTCTGCCGTGCCACTCCTTTCACTCGACGAACTTTACGTGCTGGGCGAAAGAAGAAATAAGGTAGTGTTGCCACTCATTGCTATCCTTGTTGTGCTATGCGGAGTGTTGAGTCTAGAGTTTTACACCCAGCCAGTCTCAACATATTGCTTACTGGTGCCTGGGATAAACAGCTTGTATGAGTTTTGAGATGTCTCTAAACGCCTACTCTGTTCCTTCCGCACATGACGTTCCTAATGTCTACTCGTAAGCCTATTGAGTCGACTCAGAAGTCTCCTGCTGTTTACTCCAATGCTTATGCTCATTGTTTCTGTGCAACCATTCTCTGTTGTTCCCTCCTCTCTTCCCTCTCCCCACCCCCTTTTCCCCTCCCTCTTCGCTCTGTCTGTCCCTTCCCCAAACTCCCTCCCTTCCCTCCTCCCTCCGTCCAACCTCTCCCCACTTTCCCCCATTTCCATCCCCTCTCCCATCCCTGTTCCATTCCGTCCCCATCCCCTCCGGCATCCCTCCCATTCCCTCCCTGCCACCCCATCAGGCAGTGGACTATGCGGACTGCACGCGCCACCATGGGGACCCTCTTGCCCCGGCGCTCAATCCATCTCTGCTCGACATTTTCCGCTTCTCCCTCGGCCAGGAATACATGCGCACCTTCTCCGTACGCCCCTCCTGCTCTTTTCTGCTCTTCTCTGCTTTGTTCCCCATGCAAACACACATTCCCTCGTCTCGACACCTTCCGCTTCCTCCTCGCTCAGGATACATGCCTCGCACCTTCTCCGTATGCCCCTCCTGCTCTGTTATTTTCTGGGCATCAAATGACGACTCCACGCACTATGTGAGAGTGCTCACAAACTTTGAGGAGGTTGATATGCTGCTCCCTCTGCTGCTGCTGCTGCTGCTGCTGCTGCTGCTGCTGCTGCTGCTGCTGCTGCTGCTGCTGCTGCTGCTGCTCCCGCTGGTGCTGCTGCTGCTGATGCTGGTGGTGCTGGTGCTGCTCTCTGTGCCGCCCTCACTTTTCAGCATCTTGCCTTAGAAAAAGTCACCTGTTCCCACAACCAATTTTGCACCCATCCACATGCACTCTTGTTCTACGCACGCCCACCTCCCCCTCTTTCCGGTCCACCCCACTCCCAGACACATCCACATGCCTCAATGCGTTGGACTCTTTAAGCGATTTTGGTAGAGCTTGTAGCGCCACACACCACGCTAACTGAAGCACCTCTAAGCGAGGCAGCTGTCCCATGTCGGGAGGGAGGGAATGCAGCACCTTGCAGTGGTGGATGCAGGCTATTCGGAGCAAAGGGAGAGAGGGGAAGGAGGCGGGCAGATGCGTGAAAGAGTCACAATGGGCTATGTCCAGTTGGGTCAATTGGGGTAAATATCCGAAGCCGTCTGGGAGAGTGGAGAATTTAGGACAATGTGTGACAGTGAGGTGGACGAGGGATCCCAGAGCGGAGAAGGAGTCGGGCAGATGGTGGAAAACTTTGCACTCGCGAATGGAGAGGCTCTTGAGGGATACTAGTGCGCCGAAGTTCGCTGGTAGGGAAATGAGGTCGTCGTATTTGAGGATTCTAAGCGTGTGGAGGCGGGAAAACTGGCAAAAGGCGGGCGGCAAAGAAGAAATACTGGCCCCACCAGACAGGGTTACTTCTTCAAGCGAGGGCAGGCCGATAAGTGGATCCAGAAACGAAGGGCTCTTTGTCCCCACTATAGTCAGCTCCTTTAGCGCTCCAAGGGAGGCGAAACGGGTCGGCAGAGACTTCATGTGAGAGCACTCGATAAGTTCCAGCTCCTCTAAACGAGACAGCTGAGAGAACACCGCAGGCAGCTCTATCAAGCCCTCACAACCGAGATGAAGCTTCTTCAGGGAGCGTAACTCGCCGAACGATGGCCGCGGGTGACTCGTTATCCACAAGCATCTCTTAAGCTCTAAAGTTTCCAGCTTCCCCAAGCAACCTATATTCTTCAGAAGGTCGAGATGGGCTCGAAACTTGTAGAAATCGTCGTGGCTCACGCGCAGCGTACGAATCAGGGCTAATTTCGCGAGTTCAGGGGTCGGGTCGTGGAGCTGGATGTTGGTTAGGTCAAGGTACGTTAGCGACGTGAGGTGCGCGACGGAGGCCGGGAGCAAAGGGCAAGGCTTATCGTCGCGTTGGTAGTTGGGTTTGCGGGTATAGTTCAGTGTCAGCGATTGCAGGGATGACGCGAGTAGCGAGAGGGACGGAAGGAAGAACTGGAAGCGACCGGAGAGCGAGAGCGAGCGCAGATTACGCAACTGGCCTAGGGCTATTGGCAGGAGGGTGGAGTCATGGAGGTTGGAGATGGTGAGGTGAGTCAGCCACTCGAGCGAGCACAGCCCGGCGGACATAAACCTTCGCTCCGAGCGTTCCGATTCGCCTACGCTAATGTCGAGATGACGCAGAGAACGGCCGAGGGGCGGGTATGTCGTATTCGACTCAGCGGCAGCGATTTCTACGGCTTCGTTGTAGATTGAAGTTGCAGAACGAGAGTTGGGGCAGGAACTTTCATAGAGCGACCGCCAGAGCGGCATGACGTTTCTTCCTTCCGTCCACCTGACGTAACCCAGCTTCACGAACCTCAGCGACGGCAGGGCGAACAATCCCACGGGAAACGTCCTGTTTCCGTCTGCATACGCCACCTCGAGCCGCTCGAGCGACGTCAGATGGCTTAGCGACTCGAGCGACTCGCTGGAATTCAGCGAGTCGATGGTCAGGTGGCGCAGCTGCGACGCGAAGATGAGATCGAATCGGGGAAGCTTGAGATCGAAGCAGCGACGGATGGTGAGAGCCGTTAGAAACTCCATGCATGAGGCTGGGAAACTGTGAATGTTGCTACACGAGTCCAGCGTGACTTCCTCCAGTTTCGTCCATTCTTCGCACGCGTCTGGTAACTCCCCGTTGAAGCTCCTCAGCTCCAGCCGTCGCATATTCTGCAGCGCGCCGGTGCGGACTGGGAAGCCATGCACTTTCCAGGAGCCGTCGATTCGGAGAGAGGTGAGGGATGAAAGATCGCCGAAAGACTTGGGCAACAGCCGCAACTTCGTGCATTTTGAGATCGAGAGCTGCGTTAAGGACTTCAGCTCCCCAAAAAAATCGGGCAGCTGCAACAGTAACGGGCAGCTTAGGCAGAACTCCTGGAGCGATGACAACTGGCATATCTGGTCGGGCAACGTGCGAATAAATTTGGAGTGTAGCCGGAGCACCCGCAGCGAGGACAAGGACGCGATGGAGCCTGGAAGGTTCTGCATTTTGCCGAGACAGTGCGAGAGAGTCAGCTCCTGTAACCGCGGCGCCGCCAAGCGGAAAAAACTCCTCCAGAAACTTATGACCAATTCTGAAATGAGGTGCTGCCGTAAAGCGCGGCTCGTGCAGGCTCAGGCGGACGAGTCGCGATGAGGCGGAGAGCAGGGAGGTAAGGAAATCGTTGTCGTAAAAATCGAGGGCGCGATCGGCGAGAGAAACGGAAGTGACATTCGGAGCGAGGGACAGGATGCGAAAGAGCGCAGGCGCGGAAAGCACGGGATCGGGAAGATGGCTTAGCCATCCTGAAGATGGCGTGTGGCCGCGATTGACGTGAATGGTATTCATGCTTCCTAGCCATCGCTTACACGTGGCTGCGAGATCACTAAACGTGCTGACGGTGGATTCGCTGCCGCTTCCGCTGTTGCTGTCGCTGCTGCTGCCACTGCTGCCATTGTTTGTGTCGTCAATGCTGCCGGGCTCCGTAACAGCGCAAGTCGCAGCGAGCGAGAGGATTTTGTAAAGAATCTCGTCTGGCAGGCTATGGATGGGCGTGCCGCGAGCGCTGCGGTGATCCGCTGGGGGCTCCATAGAATAGTAGGCGCTGACTCGTCCAGTTCGAAGTCAGTTTTGTGAAGTTGAAGTTCTGTCGGGGGTAGCGGGACTGCTGCTATGCTAACGGGTCACAGTGAACGATTCATGGCTCCATTCCAGTGGCTGTATTGCTGCGGCTAGGTGTATCTCCATCCACAATCACTATCGTTGGACGACATCTCTCAGGCGTGCCAACAGCCGATTTTCAATCAATTCAACGCACAGCGAACAGACAGCCTTGTCCATGAGCAGTGCTGGAATTGTTTGTGCACTGTAAGGAAAATTCCTTTTCCTTACTTCGCATCCCTGCTCAACGCGTACATCACTGTAGCACCACAGTCAGCACCGTTACCACTCGCAACCCTCCACAGTCAGCACCGTTACCACTCGCAACCCTCGCATCGACAATCCGCCCGCCACCTTCGCACGCCGCACCCCGACCTCACGGCTCGGCGGGTAACTCGCGCTCCGGGCCTCCGCTTCGACACTTTTCCCAACCTCAGTCCCAGGCCCGTCGCGCGACAACCACAGTCCATTACCGTCACCACTGTAGTTTCGCTATATATTCATCGCTCATGCCTTTGCTCATTGTACTCTTGCTTCGATAGTGCAATTCTCGTTCGTTCACTCAATTGCACTCGTAACACTTGGTATTCAGAGCCTACGATCTCTTCTTGGACCGCACCCACACCTTCGCTTCCCCACTATCTCAATTTTTGGGGGGGGTAGACGTCTCTCAGCGACACAGCACCGTCGCTCGTAGTGCTCTCTCGTAAGCACGCACGGCCACGACCGAGGCTCTCGCTGAGCTCGCCCGACACCCCCGCCATGGCCGAATTCACACTCGCCACATTGACGCAGGAGCAGCTCGACCGTCTGGTGCGCCAACTTGAAGATTCGGCGCTCGAAATTGCGACGCTCACGGCGGAACGTGACTCCGTGCGTCAGCAATCAACGATGAACACTCCAGTGCCACCACACGCACCGACAAATGCATCTGCACAATCAGACGAGCCGATCGTCATCTCGTCCGGCACACCAACACAAAACAACAGCATGGGACAGCGCTCAGGCGCAGCCAGCGATGGCGCCGCCCAGCCGATGCCTGGCAAGGGAGGAAACAGGGTCGCACCAAGCCCGCGGGAGCCTCGCGAAGCCCGTCGGCACGTGGAGTTCGCGGCGACAAGTGGCGAACAAGCCATTATGGCACCAATGCCACTCAAGCCGCAACGCCCGCCCTGCTTCGACCCGAGCCAGCGTGGAGGTCCGACGATTCAATCGTGGGTCTTCACGATGAACGTCTTCTTCGACGCGAATTACGTCGAGTCGGACGCAGCGAAGATTCGGTATGTCGTTTCGCTGCTAAGGGGCCCCGCCATGGACTGGTGGCGAGTCATCGTGACGTCGCCACGCGCCTACGAGCCACCGTCGCAAGAGGAAGGGCCCACGGGCCCAGCTGTCACCTGGAGTTCATTATGCGAGACCGCCCAATACAGCACGTGGGATGCGTGGTGTGCAGGGCTTCGGGCGCGCTTCGAGCCGATCGCGGCTTCTATTTCGGCGCGTCAGAGATTGCGCACTTGGCGGCAGCTCGGATCGGTTCAAGACTATACGAGTGGTTTTCTCGCATTATGCGAGCAAGTCGGCTACATGCACGAAGCGGAGCGGGTGGACCGTTACGTCGGAGGGCTGAAACCGGACATCTCGCACGAAATCATGCTACGCGGGCTCCCGAACTTCAACGAGATTCTCGCGCTCGCCGAGAAAATCGACATTTTACGCCGTCCGAGACCGGGGTCCTACTATGGACATCGTCCTCGGGGACCGATCGAGCACGCCACTGTACACGCCGTTGCGACGAATGCAGCTGCCGCGCCGTTTAAGGGGCGCTGCTTTGCTTGCAACAGGCCGGGCCATCGCAAGAGCGAATGCCCAGAGGAACTAAAGCGCCGCGGAGCAGAGCAGGGGAGGGAGTCTCCAAGGCAGGGAAACGCCAGCAGTCAGTATGAATCGGGCCAACTACTGACGAGATTGCCTGCTCGCCCAACCCCACCGACCCTCACTGAGTCACAGTACCGATTCATGCTATCGATCGGACTCGGACGAATAAGGAGGGTACAGCGACGGATTGCCCAGTACTGATCCACGGGAAAATACAGGGAGCAGCAGTGAAGATTTTTATCGACGGAGGAGCAAGCCACAGTTTAGTTAATACCGCAACCGCACGAAAACTGCAGCTGACACTTAGCCGTTGCTTACCGGAGATAGACGCACGCTTAGTCGACGGCACGCCACTGGCCATACGGGAAAAGGTAGAAAGAGTCAAAGTCCGCTGCGGGGGGAATTTCGGATTTACACAGGAAATGCTCGCAACGACACTGGATGGGCACGATATTTTACTGGGATGTGATTGGCTGCGACGGTATAACCCGCGAATTGACTGGACGACGGGTAGCTGCACCGTGCGAAGTAGTGGTAACTGGGTCAAGCTACCTCGCTGGCAGTCGCCCGAGTCTTCAACGGTACACGTCAACGCCATCACAATGAAACGGGCTGTCGCTGCTGGAGCTGACGTGTACGCTGTAGACATCGCAGCAGTAGAGGAAGCAGAGCAGCCGAGTGATTTCAAGAAACTGCTGGCAGCCATACCGCCCGAATTACAGGAACTGTTGAAACGATACCCTTGGATTTTCCCCGACGACTTACCGGAAGGACTGCCACCTCAGCGAGCACATGACCACCGAATCGAATTAGAACCGGGGGCACAGCCAACCGTATGTTAGAATCCCAACCACTAGACCATTGGGATAAAAGGGCTTGTTTCAGTAGCGGGTCAGTGCGCCCATAACCCCCAAGGCGAACACGCCTGTAACCCTCTCCAGGATCAATCGGGCATCCACAGTGCAGATCTACTGACACCCCCCCACACTGGGAGGCCCAGGACTAAGCACAGCGGCAACGGCCTACATGTGCATACACCGGGAATCGAACCCGAGACCGCTCAAATACCATGTCAGAATCCCAACCACTAGACCATTGGGATAAAAGGGCTTGTTTCAGTAGCGGGTCAGTGCGCCCATAACCCCCCAGGCGAACACGCATGTAACCCTCTCCAGGATCAATCGGGCATCCACAGTGCAGATCTACTGACACCGTACAGCGCCAGTTCAGACTGACGCAGCCCGAGCTCGACGAACTAAGGAAGCAGTTAGATTACCTGTTAGAGAAAAAAATCATCCGACCGAGCTCGTCACCGTTCGCCGCACCGATACTGCTCACGCCGAAAAAAGACAGGGGTTTTCGCATGTGTATCGACTACAGAGCACTGAACAGGGTAACAGTCAAGTCGCGGTACCCCATTCCCCGCGCCGACGAACTGATCGACCAACTGCGAACAGCACGGGTTTTTTCGAAAATAGATTTACGGGGAGGTTACCATCAGATTAGGGTCGAACCATCGGACTGCGCCAAAACAGCTTTCAGGACTAGGTACGGGTCGTTCGAGTACACTGTGATGCCATTCGGGCTGACCAACGCACCGGCGACTTTTCAGATGACCATGAACGAGGCATTTAGGCCGCTCTTAGATAAATGTGTAATAGTTTACCTCGACGACATCCTAGTTTACAGTCGGGATAAGCAACAGCACTTAGCAGATCTGGAAGCAGTGTTTAAGGTTTTAGACGAGCACAGATTACTGACCAAGGGTTCCAAGTGCGAGTTCTTCCAGGATAGGTTAGAACTTTTGGGGCACGTTATTTCGGAGGCTGGAGTTGAAATCGACCCAAAGAAGCTGGATACGGTAAAAGCGTGGCATCCCCGACGAACATCACGGAGCTGCAGAGCTTTTTAGGGTTCGTTAATTACGTGCGTCGGTTCGTCCCCGATATGGCACGGTTAACTGCCCCACTGACGGATTTACTGCGGAAGGGGGTCGCTTTTACGTGGGGGGAGAAAAAGCATGCTGCCTTCTCTACCCTGAAAACTGTTCTCTGTTCACCGCCCGTCCTGCGCATCGCCGACCCACACCGCCCATTCGAAGTAGTTACCGACGCAAGCGATATCGCCATCGGAGCCTGTCAAACATTATATATGTTGTGTTAGTTTAGGCTACAGTGGGTTAGCCTATAGGGGGTACACAATTCTAGGGTTAGGTACTTGTACTCTTTTCATTGCTAGTTCATTCATTCCTGTTCAGTGATTCCAACATGGTATAGAGCAGGTCCTTCCTAGGACCGAAATTTTCTAAGGGCCCACCACTACGTCACTACCTACCTACCTACCTACCCGTGCCCTAGGGCGCCTCGGCGTGTCACGCCCCTAGAGGCCCCTCTTGACGGCCCCGCGCTAGCCCCGTTCAGGCCCCGTCGGCCCCTTTAAGGCCCCGTTCAGGCCCCGCGCTAGCCCCGTTTAG